GATCTGAGCACATGTTTCACACAAGGGGGTGGGAGCTTAGTAGGGAGTGTCTGGCTGAATGACTGGGCAAAGAAGGTGTGAAATCTTACACTTGCCAGAACTGCACACCTAGCTCGCCTATTGTTAGCAGTACCTGCTTAAATCTGAAGACCATTGAAATGCTAATGCTTGAGGCAGTAGAAGGGCCCATGAATTGTACACTTTAAAGAGACAGAGAAAACTCTTGGGACCACATTAACATTTTGTTAATAGAAAAGATTAAAAAAGAATGACATTAGAAACATATTGTATAGGAATTGGGGGAAGATACTCTTCATCGCTTTCCTGTTCAGCACCTTCCAATTTCCATGAAGTGTCAAATACACCCAATGTACTTAGATGCTGCTCATCAAATCGTTGATGACTTCTTAATCAATATTTGGTTCCTCTTCATCAACTAGTATTTTTTCCTGCTGTAAACAGCCTCTAGTGATAGTAATGTCAGTCTGTTTTGTCAGCTGTAATCGCAGCCCCTCATCCTCAGCTATACTTAGTATTTATTGCTCATTAGCAAATGTTGTCATGCTAACATGCTAAACTAATATGGTGAACATGATCATAATAATACCTGTTTAGCATCAATATCTTAGCATTATCTTTGTGGCCATGTTCACGTGTTGATGGGAGCATTTAGCCCAAAACACCACTGTACCTAAACACAGCCTTGCAGAGCTGCTAGCCTGGCTGTAGATTCTCAGTCCTATTTGTTTGGGGTTATTGTTTTGCCCATATTTAGTGTTGTGGTTGGAAATGTGATGAAAATCACAGTAGGGGCTGTTTTTAGTAGCGATGAAGCAGAATATTTTCTTGAAATTGTGGTGGAAGCTGTGCACCGTGAGAAGCACATACCCCCCTGAAACATGCTGGAACAAAAAAACAATCCCCTGAAGTTTCCTCTGTGAGCTTGAGATGTTTGTATGCAGCACAGAATGTCTGCATTAGCTTGAGGTCTCAATTTCATTACATTCAAATCATCTTTCCAGCAGCGTAAAGCATTTAGATTGAAAATAGCTCAAGTGCATTTATATCAGTGCTGTAATAATCAAGATGTAATTGACTTTTTGGTAGAACGAGTGCAGATACATTGCTTATTGTTGTTGCTGTTAATCTGTTCCACCTTAAAAAGGATACTGGGCCCAGAGGCCGGAAACAGTTTGTGCTGCCAGTTCAAAGACACAATTTGCTGGCAGACTCACACGAGACGCGCACAGGAGAGAAAGCTTGGTGAGCGAGTTGACTTGGGAGAGGAACTTCATCAAATCATCTGAGAGATTGCCTGCAGTGTTTCACCAACTACTGAACAATATAGTGTGTGTATTGCCACCACGACACACATGCGAGAAATGTATTGGTATCTATTTCTAGCATAATTGCCAAAGAAAAAGTTGTTGACTGAGTTCAACTTTGCATACGCCTTAGGCAAATAATTTGAAGTGCATGTGTAGGTTGTTTTCCTTAAATATTTTAAGCAGATAAACATATTCTGAATATATTACTTCTTTTCAGGATGAGAGTTTTTAAACTTGAATATCTCATCACATTGTTGAGTCCACTGTTGAGTCCGACATTCACTCCTTGGCGGTCCTCATCCAAATTATGTATCGCGTCTTGTAAATAAGCCTGTTTTTAATCAGTTGTTAATGAGTTGTTTTCTGAATGTACGCTCGCGTTTGAGTTTGAAAGTGATAGCAGCTGGTAACGAGGAGACCCGGAGCAAGGTTGTTGTTTACCTCTGCAGAGCTGTTTTTTGACCCCTAATGACCTCCTGTCTGCACGTAACGAGACCCAACTCGCTCCCAGTCTGAGGACAAGCAGCGTCATTTACAGCGCCGGGAGATGCTTCAGTGAGGACACCATGCCCCCAAGCAGAGGTCGAGCTGAGTTGACATTCTGTCTCAGGATGCGCAGGGCAAAGGACATTTTGTGTGGGTGTTTTATCATTACGGATATTTACCAGCACGTTTTGTTTCACTCGTGCTCTTTGTCCCTGTGGACTCATTTGGCAGAGGCAAATGCTAACATGGGACTACTACAAGGAGGGCAGATTTGGCTCAGATTCAAACGCTCTAATTTAGTCTTTCAAAAATAGAAATGAACTATGTATGTTGGATGTGAAAAATGCCTAGAATATTGTTTGTTGACCTTGAGGTGGAGATTTCTATAAAAAGCTTTTGACATACAGGTTTTATGACCCACAGCTGGTTCACTCTCACCATTTCCAGCTGCAGCAAAAAAGCTCTCATGAACCCACCGTACAGAACCTACACAGGACCAAACAGCAGAAGTGAGCAACTAGCTGGTGGACATACGCGAAAGGTTTTATCAGCTGAAGAGCAAGATATGTCTCTAAGTGGTTGGTAGAGGGCAAATCAGGGCTAAAAGGAGAGTGTATCAGGTGGTCAGTGGTCCAGTGTTTGCCATATAAACTATAACTATAAGGTGATAATATCAGTGTTGTGTATACTGCTTATATTTCGCTGACTCCAAAGTGGCCAAAAGAAATCTGTTAATGCAGTATTAACAGTTCGTACACACACTCAGCCTCTTTATAATACATCATTTATAATACGTCCTGATACCATAGTACGGTACAGCTACAGAGACATTATTTTGTCATGTTGATGTCTGTGTGAGGACACTTTGTTATAAATAGTGTTGAAATGATAAATCGTCTGCAAGATTTCTGTTCAAATTTGGCAGCAAAAATGCCAAATATTTGTAGCTTCCAGCTCCTCAAATTTGAGTGTGTTGTATCATTGTAAAGGGAATATTTCAGTTTTGCACTCTAGTGTGGGCTCTAGGAAATGAATGAGTTTTTCCACTACCTTCTGACATATTGTGGACTCAATTATTAATGGACTTCTGGGAATAAAAATGTATACAAACGAATTCATAATGAAGATGATTGTTATGTGCATTTCCATGAAACAGTAACTCTAATGACAGGACATTATTAGACATTAATAAAACTCTATTGCTTCATCATAAGAACCCCCTCTGTTAAGAAAATGATCTGATTAGATTTTGAGCCACCTTCCTGCATAAATCTGCAAATTAATTGGGAAAAACTGATTTCCTTGAAGCAACTGTAAGTCATTTAGTTTCATTCATATACCACTGAGGTCCTGAAGACAAGTATATTGAAACATAAATGTTTATAATTGATGCATTAATTAGCTCAGTTAATGGCCTCATCTACATAACTGGGTGTTTAATATATCAACGTGAATATCGTGGAACATTAGGCAGCTCAAGTACCTCCTTTTATTTTTTTCCCCCTTGTCGGCAGTTTGGGAGCAAGTGTGAGACTCCAGTGCCGCTGAGACAAAGTGAAGGATGTGGCTCAGACAGCGAGGCCAAATACAGTGGGAGGTATATGATGAGAGACAGAGGTAGACAGCTACACACGGAGTCAGGAAGAAGGAAGATGGACTGCAGCGGGGTGAATAATAACGGCAGAGTGAGAGCGTAGCAAAGTCCTACGAGACCGGAGCATTATCATAGAGGACTCGATGGGGAGCTGCTGCATCCCCCAGGAGAGCACAGAGACCTGTACATACAACGCTGCTCTCCTGATTCTGCACGTGTGTCAGTGTGTGTGTGTGTGTGTGTGTGTCTAGGATGTAGAGAGAGAGAGAGAGAGAGAGAGAGAGAGAAAATCAAAAGATGAAGATGAGCTCCGAAAATAGACCGATGCAGATTGACAAATATTTCAGGATGCAGAATATGTGAGTGAAAAAGATGAAGGAGTGATGGGTTGGGTTGTAATTCAGCTATCATTTATCACCCAGGCAGTATTTGATTAATAATTCACCAGGCTTTTAATTTACGATTTAAGGGATTTAGAGGAGATGTTTATGATATGGAGTAGATTATTTCTTTTGTGTGTACGTGTCTATGTGATGACGTTTAGGGAGACGTTACCAGTTGATTGATTGCCTTATTCTACAAACTAAGTGTTATCAAAGAAATAAAATAAATCATACCTGATGAGATCAGAGCCATTAGCCAGTAGTTTATCTTAATGTCTCTCTGCTCGGACCATTTAATCAGAGTTTATTGGTCTGAGATAGGAAAAGGAAGCATCTATCCCTAGCTTGTAATAAATGCATCCTGGGAATGTAACAAGAGTGTAAAATCAGAAACAGTTGTTTCAAATTTCAAACCAGCACAATGAATAATGGCTTCAGAAAAAGACAGGACTCCCTGACGTTTTGATTTGCTGCTGAAAAATTAGAAGGCGCTTCTCACTCAAGCCGACATAAGCTCTTTTTGATTAGGTTGTTTTAATTAGGTGTATTATTTATTTTGTGTGTCATTAGGTTGGGTTCAAAGAACAACGCTGCGCCGAGTAATAAAACGGGATGGTCTTTTGGAACATGTTAATATAGTGTAATGATAGGGGTTCATTATATTGCTGTAGCACAGCAAGTTGAATCCAATCGCGGGGCTTAATTTATGTGTATGCTTATTTTTGGCCTGCAACTTCAGTACAATAGTCTGCAGACTCATATTGACACATATAAGCATTTCACATTCACCGGTGATGTTTAGTTTTATTTCAGCGAGGTCTTTAATATCGTGCCACACTTCACAGGCACACAGGTAGGCCTGCTGTGGTGAAAATGACGAATCTGCGAATGACAACATTTGGAGCACAGGAAGTGGAATATGTAAACAAATATCACCAGTTAAACTGGAACACCGGAGCCTCCGAGTGAGATGCTCCGGTCGGTAAATGTGTTTCTAAAACGTATTCAGCGGGCTGGCACGGCAGCTAGCAGCTATGGGTTGGTGCTCCTGTTAATGTCGGAGCCTCCGAGTGAAATGCTCCGGTCGGTAAATGTGCTTTTAAAACTTATTCAGCGGTCCGACACTGCTGCTATAGCTACTTAGCATGGCTGCCGTGCTCCAACCCCCTTTCAGCCTGGACCGGAAGGCATAGCGGTGTGACGTAGCATTTGGGCGTTACGGCGAGAATTGCCGCCTGCAGACGGATCCTCTTGGAGCGGAAGGAAGCGGAGGGAGAGAGAGGACGACAGAGAGGGAACAGCAGCGAGAAGACAACAGCAGAGAGAAGAAAAGAAAGAGAACAAAAAAAAAAAAGAGAGTCGGCTTTGCAGTATTTTACTCATTTGGGATTACTTTGCAATGCCAAAGGCTCAAGCCAAGACCGAGTTCCCCGCAGACGAGGCTCTGGACTCCGACGATCCCCCGTCTGAGGACAGTGAGCACAGCGAGTTCGACTCAGAGAGCGAGTTGGTGTATTCACAAGGCCTTGGCGCCACTTCAGAGGGGTGAGTAAATCTACCTTTGTTCTCGTCTTGATTTTATGTTTCACTGAGTTTAGTTTGACTTTGCTGTCTGTATATTTACTACTCACTACTATTTATTGTATTGAAGTTACATTGCACTTTAGAGATAGTGAACTGTGAATGACTGGACTTTGGGAATAATCTTATACTACAACTCCTCTGTGTATATGTGTTTTTTTCTGCATTTGTTTGTATTTTACACTTGCTTTTTGGCAATACTGAACTGGAAATTTTCTGACTGTACATAACATTTTATTTTGTAGGTCAGAGGATAGCAGTTCAGACTGGGAGCCTCACACAAAACCATCTTCCTCAAAGAGACCACGGCGCTCCTCCTCTGCTGCCACCGGTGATACCTCCACTCCTACACCCAATGGATCAGGACACAATGCTGCCACCACACCCACCACTGGACAGGAACGTGCCGCCAGACGTGCTCGGGGTAGAGGTAGACCCAGAGGCGGAGGAGGAAGGTTGCAGAGAGCATCTGACCCTCCTCATTCCCCCCTCCCAGAACAGCCGTGGCAGTTGGGTGAGGATGAAGACGTTGAGCCTGCTCCATTGATATTCTCGCCAGTAAGGCAGCCGGGACCGCAGCAAACCACCAGGGATGCCCAGACACCACTCGACTTTTTCAAGTTATTTTTTACAGATGCGGTGCTGGAGTGTTTGGTGGCAAACACCAATTCTTATGGTCAACAAAAACAGCACGGGAAGAGAGATGCGTGGCGTGACATCACTATCGGGGACTTTCTATCATTCTTGAGCATGGTCATTTACATTGGACTTGTGAAGTGTTTGACTTTTAAGGATTATTGGAAAGTGTCCCGCATATATGGCTTACCATTCCCAGCCTCCGTCATCTCCCGCAACAAATTTTTGAGCATTTGTAGAGCCCTCCACATGAGCAGTCTCACAGCTGATGCAGATAATGATGCTAAGAGGAGGACACCTGGCTATGATAGGCTCTGCAAGATCAAGCCCCTCTACCACAGCATTAACAGTGCCTGCAAGGCTCACTTCCAGCCGGAACAGAACATCTCTATAGACGAGAGGATGGTGGCATCGAGGGCACAAATTGGACTGAAACAGTACATTCGCACAAAGTGGGGGTACAAGTTGTTTGTACTCACTGATTCCAATTCAGGCTACACCTGGAACTTCTCTGTCTACGAGGGGAAGTCATCTGGCTCTGGGAAGGGCCTCAGCTACGACTCTGTGATGTCCGTCATGGACTTCGACAGCTTGGGGACCGGTTATCACCTTTATGTTGATAACTTCTACACCAGTTCCCAGCTGTTCCAGGACCTGCTGGCAAAGCAGATTGGGGCCTGTGGTATCATCTGGCCGAACCGAGCTGGTTTCCCCAGAAGCCAGGCAAATGACTTCACCAGAGATACTCCATGCGGTGCCATCAGGTGGATCAGGGACGCCAGTCTGCTTTTTGTCAAGTGGATGGACTCTCGTGAGGTAGCGGTGTGTTCCACTATCCACAGGGCTTTCAATGGAGACACAGCCAGTAGGAGGGTGAAGACGGCTGGACAATGGGTGCAAACTGATGTCCCTATCCCGGCTGCAATCAAGGACTATAACGAGCATATAGGTGGTTTTGACCTGTCTGATTCCCTCATAGGTTGCAGTAGCATTATCCACAAGTCCAGGACGTGGTACTGGAACTTCTTCTATCACTTTTTGGATATCGCTGTGGTCAACGCGTACGTTTTGCATCAGCAGTGTAGGCGGGGTCCTGCTATGACCCAGAAGGAGTTTCGGCAGGCACTTGTTGAAGAGCTGGCAGACAAGGGCTCTGTGTCTACGTCTAAGCGTTCAACTACAAGATTCATCACAGTCCCTGCCCAACCGGCTTCACACACGCTGCACTACTTCACAGAGGGACAGAACGTGGCAAAGAGCGTGGCCAGCTCTGCAGGGAGAAGGAAGTGTGTCCTCTGCCATAAGAAGACACCAGTTGGCTGTAGGAGCTGTGATGTGGCCTTGTGCTTTGTGGCAACAAGGGACTGTTACAACACCTGGCACACAGAGAAAGGACTGTAAACTCGGCAAACTGAGAACAATACCAGGACTGCCTTAGATCCGGCATCGCCAGCGTCATTTCACTCTTTGTATATAATTATTTTATTTTGTATATAGTTATATATTTGTTCATTTTTGGTCACTTTCTATATTTTTGGTAATTTTTTATTTTGTAAATAGTTCAAACAAGTGTGACCATTGTTTTGGCACCTTTCTTGAATAAAAAAAAATTCCTTGTTTGGAATTCAGTCATTTTGTATGATATGCAAGCATGCATAGGGTTTTGTCACATGACAAAAGCTGAGCCAATATGGCCACTTGAAAACATGTGGGAACCCCTAGCGACCCATCAAATGAGTGAGTTGTGAGAGAAAAATGATGATCAACAATGTTTTGGATGATGAAAAGAGTTTCTATAATCATCAAAATTATTTTCCAATAACACATAAGGTTAGACCAAGGGAAATTTTACACAGGTGTGGTTGACAAGATGTAGAACTGATATCGTGATTTTCATTGTTCTATGTTCTAAGTATGACCAAGTTATTGATATTCAAATATGATATGTTTTTTCAGGAATGGATGTACTTTAGATTGGGTTTTAGTCCAATGCTTAAACACACATTAGAATATAATGATGTCTCATATATGCATTTTGTCCTTACAGTTCTTCTGTTGAAAGCTTTGGCTCTTGGGTATGCCAAGAATTACATTAAAAGGGATGGATACTAAAATTCAAACATCCATAAACAAAATTATCTAATGTCTCATCACACTCACCATGCTGTAGTCTATTTAACCTCTAATCAAACAATTTAAAATTATACTCTCACCACTCACTCTTTACAACTAGGTTGATGTCACCCACCTAAATATCGAGCCGTGTGGGCTCATCATCTTATTTTTTACAGGCATAAAGTTAAGAGCTCCCCTTCCATCAGAGAAGGCATCGTCGCATGCTCCAGAGGTTAGCGATCATTAACGGTATCGTCTCAGACTGCTCTCACAGCTTGGACACTGATCAAGACCATAATTACTGAACAATAAGAAAAAAGAAAAAGCAGCCATAGATATCTGTCCTGAATGTAGACAGGTGGAGGCAGGCAGCCTAGGGAAACTTTTCAGCGGAGGCAGCAGCTTTGGGTTTTGCAGCATGGTAGACAGACAGAGATTAGAATAGCAGCATCTAATTGGTCTTTCATGATTTCTCCATGTTAATTAGTGATGTTACGTTAGATCGCAGCCAGTAAGTGTGACTCACCAGCTCTGGTAGGAGAGGCAATCATCTGCTTAATTTTTATCCCTGGCTCATTTGGTAATTTTTTTTTTCTGTCACATCAGTCTAATTTGGCTTTTAAATGTGGGAGCTAGTCGAAACCTGGATCACGGCGATGCCGAGAGTCATCTGCCCAGTGACAATGATGCCTCTTTATTAGCACTAAATCATTACATTAGCATCAGAGCAGGACACACCACTGGGCAACAGTCTTGTCAGCTCCTTGGCACACAGCAGCACGGCAGCCATGCCAGTCAGGCTCACGTCCCAGGCAAATCTGGGCTGAATCTGACGACAATCTTTGCCATGACTGTTGAGTACTCACCAACGGAGGAATGAGCATCAAACATCGTCAGCAACATTGCATGGTGCTGCTGAAGCAGAAAACCTACAAGCTAAGGCAGCAATGTACCAAACGAGTCATTACACTTGTTAATTAATTTTCGTCTCTGCCGTGATTCCTCCTGCACAACAATCATTTATTATACAATTATACATAATGTAGAACAATTATAATGCTAATTTTTCTTCTAGTATCATGCATATTTTAGATATTTAAAGCATTGTTAAATGCAGTATCTAGTTGCCTATTTTCATTCATGTCATCTATGTATATCTTGTTGAAAATGATAAGACCTGTAGTTTAGTTCATTTGGTTGGGACTAAGGGAAAAAATTATGTGTCATTTGCTGGCTGATGTGGCAAATGTTAACCAGGTATTCCTACAGTCAAGAGTCACCCGAGTTAGAGTCTTGAGGCTAAGCTAGCTGCTGCATGGTCCCTGCAAAGTTTACGGCTGCCTGCTTGTGAAACTGCAGTGTCATGTTTTTATCTGTTAAATACAAAAGATGCACCATGTGGGTGTGGAGGATTTGGAGTCGTTTCTTTTGACAAAGATGATAGTAACAAAGTAACAAATGATAATGACTAATGCAAAGCATTTTTTGTTAAATAGCATATACAGGACTAAAAAGAAGCATCTTGAACAGAAATAGAACAGGAAGTTTACTGCAGGATCATGGAATATCCATGCACTCATGCTGACAAGCATTGATGTTACTAACTTGCCCAATGGTTCTACATACATAGATACATTTATATCGATGATATAAATGTTCAGGAAGTGATCATCGATCATAGGCAGTACGTGGATTTATTGCTAATTTAGGTTTTGATTTTATGCTAAAATCACATTTCAATCCTGTGGAAGGTCTCCGGTTGTTTAGTCCGCACCAGGGTTTGATTGACTAGTGTCAAACCACCCAAACTAGCCCAACAAACACACCAGGGTTCATTTAATCTAACCAAATGTGTTAGTTGTGAAAGCATCTTTAAACTATACAAGGCAGAGATATTCAGTCAAATGCTTTACTTATTTTTGTATTTATAGTAGATTTCAACTTGTTTTTCCTAGGCTTTGGAAAAGTGTCATGTCTAACATGTTTGTGCAAGTAAGAGGTTGTTTTGTTTTAAAGATGCAACACTGCAATGCAGATTTGTTGCCGCTGTTCAGTGAAAATGCAGCTGGCTGAGAAATGAAGGTAGACGGAGAAACTGGAGGCAGAGTTTCATCTGGGTGGGAGTGGTGGGGAGCTTCTGTGTTTACTGTGAGGAGGAGCACTGTGAGGAGAGACAAAAGTAAAAACAGGTGTTATTAACTTTACCTGATTTCTTTGTCATGCTTGCAGGAGAGCAGTTATGCTTGCTGCACCGTGCATAAAGGTGCCTCAAGGAGCTGCAGCACAGTTAAATTGAACTCATTTTATGTCTTAGTGTGGGTTGTCTACTTTCACAGTTGCCTTTTTGGGGGCATAAATGTGGTTTTAGGAATCTCTTGCGATTTTCTTATGATTGATATATTATATATTTGAAAGAAAATTAATACACATAAACATACACACAAACATACAACCTATAAAAGAAGCCTAAAACCATACAAAATGAAGTAATACTGGGATAACACCACCAGTTTCATTTAGACTTATGACAGGGAAATGCCCAAGCACTTACACCTCGGATGAAACTAAATGATTTATGTTGACATTTCCCATAATTGTCTTTGATCTGTTCCACATTCATTTCTTTTCCATCATGAAAAGTAAATGTTCAGGAACTTAATTAATCTCTTAAACTGAAATAATTTAATTTTAGTTTGTTCTCTTTGTCATAACTTTATTAGACTTATGGGGGAAAAAAAGGGGTATTGTGATATTTCATTTATCCACATCAGCCAGATATGTTTGTCCAAATAACAGCCCTGACAGCTTTGCAGTGTTATTATTCTGTATTTGAATCAGAAACTAAACTTGGATAATTAATAAAAGACACAGGAATTTGCTGCTGATTTAGACAAATTAAAATGTTAAGCTGGAAAAAGACATTAAGATCCAGCCAGTTTTACAGTGAGCCTTAGGGTCAAATCCAGTCTGCTGTGCTGTTACTCACCTTCTGTTCAGTTACAATAAATGCAGAATTTGTATTTGTTCATATCAAAACAGGCTCTCAGAGGACTTTGACTTGGTTTTTAATCTTTCTTGATGTCTTGATTATGACGTGATGATTTAATAGATTGTGAGTAGAAGTGATAGAAGTGTGAGTTGTATTGTTTACTGTGTTTTCAGAGCCTCTGGGTTTTTTTTTTTTTTTTTTTTTTCTTGATGGATTTAATGGAGATGCAAATCTGAACAGTTACCCAACTAACAATGTGTTAGTTGTTCCTGCATTTTCCTCTAATGCGAAAATCAACAAAACCTTTTTGATCAGAAATGGAGCCTGCAGGCGTGTTCTTTATCGTAACGCGATTTGTTGGATCTGCGAATCAGTATGAGTGGAAGTTTTATACAAAGCCTGGTGAGTGATTTATTGGGCCTGTACTGGGAAGTAAAAGTCTGATTAGCAAAACCTTTGTCAGCATTACTTGTCCTCTCTCACTGCACTTTCTGCCTGTCTTCCTGAGTGCCACGATCACTGGTGATAAATAGACACTCCATTCCTAATCACTGCCATCGTGGTACCATTACTGAATGGGCCACTCATTTCAGGGTTGGCAAGACAGCTCAGCTCGGCCACCCTGCCAGAGGCGTCAGTGCTTTGTCTCATGAAATGTCACCAGTGTGCTGACTTCAGGAATGGAGCCAGCACCTTGGTTATACAACACTCCTGCTCTTATTACCTGATTCATACAGTTACATAACACATGACAAGGACACTGTATGTTAAAGGAATAGTTTGATATTCTGCCAAAGGTTACATGAGATTGATGCCGCTCTCATGTCTATGTGGTAAATATGAAGCTGCAGTCGGTTAGCTTAGATAACAAAGTGTGCCTACAAGCATCTCTAAAGCTGACTAATTAACATATTTCACCCTGCATGTTTCATCTAAATACTGAAGTGTGAAAATGACGCTTTTTCCCAATTTCCCAAAATGTAAAACTATTTGTTTAAAGAACACAATTTGTCAAAAACGTGTTTGTTGCCAATCCGCTGAGATGTGAGGAAATTTTTGTATTAGCATTTTGCTGGCAGCATCTAAAATGTAGATTAAGAGACGAATACATTTAATGATTATTGATGCCAATTATTGATTTACATTAAATGTAATAATGCAAAAAATGGGATTAAGCCTATAAGTATTTTAAAGCAAAGATATATATGGAGATAAATGATACCATTGAACAGATGCCAGTGACTTGTCATCCCTATGCTGTTCCTCAGAGTGGAGCTAATTGCTCTCTCTGGCACCCAATTACAATTTCCTTATCATACACACTTGAGATAGCAATTTCCTTCTGAATGGGTCTCCAAGTCAGCGAGTACCAGTCTGCTTCAACCTTCAGCTCCCGTAAGAGGCAATAATTATGGTGACACATGCAGTGTTACCTCTCATTTCATATTTCATTTAGAAAAAGGCGTAGACC